TATAAATAAAGTAAATAAAAACGAGCGGTATAATTATAATAATATTATTAATATATTACTTTTAGTAAAAAAAGAAAGTAGCCAGGTAGATAACCTAACGTAATTAATAATAAATATACAATAATTACACGCAAAGTATAATATTCCCAATTTATATATTATATTAGATTCTATTAATTAATTAAAGCTTTAATTACTTTAATTGTAGCGCGGCCGCTATTATTAGCATAACCTATAGAGAATATTGATAAGAACGCTGGATACGGTAAAAAATCTAGATAATTACTATAGAAGAAGAAGCGTAATGTAGAAGAAGTAATAGAATAGGATAAAGTAGTAATATAATTAATAATAGAATATTAGGAATTCCCCCTATTTATACTTTTTAAGGTATATACCTTCTTATAAGCCCAATTTATAATACCCTATGTTATAATTTATATTAATTTGTCGAATGTAAATAAAAATATTTACCCCTAATATTAAATAATTAAACTTTCCTTTTTATATTTACATATTAGAATATTATATTATTTAGTATTATATTTTATATTAAACGTATCTAGTTAGTTCGTAAAAACTACTTATTTACTCTTATCCAATTATTTAAGTAGTAACTTATTATAAATCCTTTTATATTCGCCGTTTTAGAAGCTTCAACCCTTAAAGTTTAGGTGGCCGTTTTTATTATTTTATTCCTTAATTAGAAAGACTTTACTAAAAATATTTACCGGTCGGAATATTTATAATTATATTTTAAACCGGGCGTTTGTAACTTATTATTACCCGATTATTAGTAATATGAGAGAAAATCCAACCTCTTAGCACTATATTTCCAATTATAATTTAAAGAAGATTAAATAACTTAAATCGCCGGATATTCATTTATTATTTTTACTGATTATTCGACAGCCGTTCGGGTATTATATTTAAATTTACGTTAATTTTATTACGCTATATAATTCGAAATTAATATTAATTATAGTTTTAAACAAGATAAAAATATAAAAGAATTCGATAATTTATTAAAATTATATTTATTACGATTATATTATTGTCTAACCGCTCTAAAAACCTTTTTCCTATACGATTATTGTTAATTAGGGAATTAATTATCGCGTAAGAGTCTATTAGACTTAATAAAGAAATTTTTAATTAACGTTGAAAAAAACGGTTTAAAGAAATTGGAATTGTAATAGGGATTGAATAATAAGGACGACGATAATAAGAGGGCGTATTTCAAATTAGATTGCCTAATAGAATTATATAAGGGGTAATTTCCGTAGTTTAATAATATATATTAATTTTAATATACGATTGCCCTTTATCCGTCGGACGCGTATTAATTATAATTATAGTAAGTTTAAACAGCTAATTTATAAATAGTAATTTAACCTAATTTAATAACCTAATATCGGAATTTAAATTAGTTAATTACGATATTTATTATATTATTATATAGTTTATAATATAAATAATTATTAATTATACTGATATATTATTGCGAATATAGGTTTTCAAAAATCTCTTTATTAATATGTTTTAATAGGTACGGAAAATAGTGAATAAAGCCGTCCGGGATAGAATTATTTTAAAAAAAAATATTATGATAATAGAATTATAAATACGGTTAAAAATTTGAAAATAGTTATTCGAAAGGGTTTTTACGAATTTAATAAGAGGTTAGCAAATATTAAAAAAACGGTTAAAGATAAGTATAATAAATTATTAAATATTATAGAGAAGGTAATAAACGTAGTAAACGAGAATATATAAAACCTTCTACGATTAGAATTGGGTTAGGAATTTATCCGATAAAGGATAAATAATTTAATAATAGGGTTCGAATAATTATCGGTTATTTAATTATAATATTAAATAAAGACCTTTCTAATTAAATTATATTCGATTTTATTTATAGAATTCCGTACTACGTAATTATTCGTTTTTATTTAACCTTAAAATTGAAATTAGGATATAAAAGAGGAATTTATTAACGCTTTATCCTACTTTTATAAATAATAATTAAATCCCATCTTTATCATATTATAATTTAACAGATTTATTAATAAATTCGTTCGATATTTGAATTTAATACCAAACTGTATTTGTATCTATTCGTATACTATAAAATAATAATCGAATCTTATATTCCTACCCGTTAATCAATTTTTATACGTTAATAATAAGTGCCTTATATTAAATATTTTCTTTATTTCGTATATATAAATAGAGGCTAGGTATTTAATATTTCTACGTAGAAAATTATATTAAATTTAAAATCTACGTATTAGAACATTCATTATAAATAAATATTTATTAGTAAGCGTTTTACTATTTACTATTTTAATATATAGGATTTTAATATATTTAGATTTATAATATATTTTATAATCTTCTTGTTAAATAAAAAATAATAATATATAATTCCAATTAATAGCCTCTTAAAAATATAACCCGTATAAATACTAATTATATTATAGTACTAAATTTTATAATACGATCGTTAACCGGATCTATATAAAGTCTAGGTAATATTATTTTAAAAAATTAAAGTTAATATAAATAGTTGAGCGAATAAAGCTAAAATTATCCCAATTTTATCCGAAATTAATTTATATTATAAATTTCATCCAATATTTTACTCCTTTTAACGGATATATACAATACAATATAAATAACGTAATTATATATTCGTATTTACTAATTTAGTAAGAGGAATAACCGTTATATTAATTAAAATCTTTTCTTTTTAAATTTCTTTTCCCTAATTCTTTTTCGATTATTTGAATATTTATTAATTTACCCCCGTCTACCCCCCGCCGCTCTTCCGAAATCTATCGAAATTAATTAGAAATTCATTAACAATTTATTTTTTATAATAGCGCCCGCTTACTATAAATTTACAACTTCTAACGTATATAAAGAATATTTAGATAACGATTAGAAACCTATTAAACCCGAGGATAAAGGTAAGCGTTAGGCCGTAGTACCCCCTTTAAAGACCAATAAATATATAAATATTAAACCCGATTATTAATTTATTCTTAATTTATCTTTAATCTAACCTTACTAATTACTTGATAGAGCGTATATATAATCGCTCCTAGTAAGATTTTTTACTATTAGAAAGAGTTTGAGCCGGATTATAATAGCGCGGATATTTAATATAGTTTCAATATAAATAATATTTAAAAATTATCAATATTAAATTAATGATTGATCTTTAACCTATTTAAATTATATTTACTATTTATAGTAGTTTTATTAAATATTTAAAGGGTATTTATAATTTCCTTAAAAAATATTTACTTAACGTTTTAATTGGAGGTATTAAGGCTAAAGTTTATATAATTACTATTAATATATAATTTATCCCTAATTAATTTTTAAATAATTTAAAACTAATTATAAATAAATTTAGGATAGTATAAGAATTTTATAGCCTTTATAACCTCCGATTAAATTATAATCGTCCCTATCCTTAATAGGACTTTATAGCCGGTTATTCCTAAAAAATGTAAAGTAGCGGTTATTAATAAAGAATTAGACCTATTAAACTTATTATTAATTGAGGAGGAGGAATAATAGGAGGTATAGGAGGAGGAATAGTAGGAGGAGTAGGAGGAGAAGTAGGAGGAAGAGTAGAAGGAGGTATAGGAAGAAGAGTAATAAGAAATATAAGAGGAATAATAAGAAATATAGGAAAAAGGGAACAAAAAGGAAGCGGATACGGAAGAAGATAATCTTATAAAAATCCCCTTCTAAAAGAATAGTAACGTAAATATTTTAAATCTATCTTTAATAAATCGTTAATCTATCCCTAATATATCTTTCAACTATCTTTAATTAATTTAATCAATATTTAAATTAATACCTAATTAATAAAAAAAATATATAAGAAGCGTAATAATATTATTTCCTCTATTAAGTTTATTTACGTAGTATATAAAGAATTTAAATATATTTATAAATTTTACTTTAAATATATCTTTAATAAATTCTTTACTAATTATTAATTTATTATAAGTCTTCTTCCCTACCGTCCTAAGTAGGGCAGTAAAGGCCAGAGCTACGCTATTTAGTACAAATTCCGCCTCTATCCGGATAAATTTATAAAGTTTATTCCTTCCTTATTTATAATTTAAAATATATTTTAAATATATTATAAATATATTATTAGATTTTATATTTCTCTACGGGGGAATTTTAAGCAAGCGAATAAAATTATTTCTCTACGGGGGGACTTTTATATATACAACCCGGATAAACCTACAAAGCCTAACTTCCTCGTCTACAATTTATAATATATTCCAAATATATTATAAATATATTATCAGACTTTATTCGAACTATTATTATTAATTTAATATATTGAATTAACTCCGTATGAATACGTATTGTTATAATTGTATTAATCTTTTTCTTTTATAGGCTGGACCAATTTTATATATAAATGTACGGACTATAGGGTTAGGAAGCTTTGGGTATAGGGTCGTATCATCTGACCACTCAACCGCGCCTGTTAGATTTGGACGGTACCTGCATATAGTGGGGTACCATGGACCCATCATCTTTGGACCCCATTGGCCCCATCAAAGCGCCAAGCGCCAAGCGCCATCTCACCTCCACACCCTCGGCTTTCGGTGCAGCACACTTCCTAGCACACCTTTGCTGTTCTCAATCAAAATTCGGAATCCCTTCAGAACCCCCCGGCCTCTTCATCTTGACTTCCACGGGCACCACTTGGATCCGTCGGTCCTCTGTCAGAAGCAAGCCTTTGGTCAAGTCAACGTGCAGACCACAGCCGGGCAACGGCTACCGGAGATGGAGTTGGCGATGACGATGACCATGAAAGTTAGTATCTACACTACACCATGGCTAGAGGACCAAACAAGCGGGAAGTGGGAGGTGGATTTTGATATGCCGGAATTGCTCTTCACAGGGCTTCAATCTCCGGGGACAATGCCTGTCTGGTCCCCATCATGAATTTCCCCCTCTCATTGACCGCCATCTCTCACCCACGTCGCCCTAACCTTTAGCACTCTCTTCGCTACCTTCCCTTTCTTGTCTAGGTTATCGACAGTGTCGACACCAACGCTGTTACGGGCAATCTTCAACCTGGATGTCCTTCTGTGTGTCTCAGAGCAATAGTAATGGCGACTGATGTGAGGAACCGAGGGAACCACACACACCTTTCAGCAGCCGAAATTGGCCTCCCAGGACTTCCCCAGAGGCGCTCTGCGAAAGACAAAGCGGACAGGCAAACATTGGCGAACATTCTTGCTAAATTGATCACTGACCATTTGCAGGAAGCACCGTAATGAGAGGAAGAGAGATGACGCCGTCAACACGCCGACAGCATAAGCCGCTCTACCGTTACCCGTCAGCCGTGTCGCTCTGCCAAGAGGAGGCATGGATGAATGAATCGCAGAATGGTCATCCCCTAATGCGTACATGAGAACGCTCGGAGGGCTGCCAAATCACGGATGAGCGTTGCGCTTGCTACGGCCATGGATGCCAGCAAGCGTCTCTTCAGCGGGTGAAACAAGTGGTGAACATTGTAAACCCCTGTTGCTGGCCTGCCCGAATTGGTACGGCGATTTGCGCCACGCATGATGGGAAACCACAACGTGGGCGGCCATTGGACCAGTGTTTTCTACACGCCCGGGCTAGCCAGTGCTAGCACGGCGTGGAGGTGAGCGTGATGCTCTCGAGGACAGGACAGGGGACGACTCTCCTCCACCGAACCCCTGGAACTAGTGTCCATCATGGCAACGTTAATTTCCCGCTCTGCAATGTGGGCGAAATGTGGGCGCCAGGGGCCCAACTAAGAACTGCTGGGGTCAACCCGCGAACTGGACGGCAAGGGCCTGGAGAGCCTGGGCATTGGATATTTAACACTTGCGAGTCCTCGACCTATCCATCTCCTTTCTCTTCCTTCTTCCCCAGCCAACAAGCCAACTTCTAGCTTTACACTCAACTTTGACTTCGGTCGTCCACTCTTTACCAACGCTCAAGCACATTGCTTTAATAACTCTCTTTCTTCAAAGACCAACTACACCGTTCTTCTAGAACCCACCCCTTTTAAACAACCCCCCCCCAACCGACAAAATGCGTTTCTCCGCTGCTGCTCTTGTCATGGCCGGTGCCGCCCTCGCTGAGGAGGCTGCCCAGTCCACCGTCTACTCGACCGACTATGTCACCATCACCTCGTGCGCCCCCACGGTGACCAACTGCCCTGCTCGCAGCACCGTTGTCACCTCGTCGGTCTACCCCGTCACCACCTCCACCATCTACAGCACCACGGTCCGCACTATCACCCAGTGCCCTCCCTCGCAGCCCGACTGCCCGGCCCACTCCACCCAGGTCGTCACCGAGACTGTCCCTGTTGCGACCACCGTCTGCCCTGTGACTGAGACCTCCGCCGCCGGCGCCGTTGGTGCCAGCTCCACCGGTGCCTTCTCCAACGGCACCACCGTGGCTCCCGTCCAGTCCCAGCCCGCTGCTGTCACTGGCATGCCTCCCACCACCCTGAGCACCGCTGCTCCCGTTGCCGGTGACTGCGGCCACTCCGTCAAGACCATCTCCACCCAGATCACCACCGTCATCCCCACCGTGATCTACGAGACCGTCGACGTGCCCTGCCCCACCGCCTCCGCTGGCGTTCCCTCCATGGGCGTTCCCCCCGTCAGCCCCCCTGCCAGCCCCTCCGGCGGCTTCGCCCCTCCCGCTGGTGGCAACGGCACCGTCCCCACCACCGGCTCTCCCAGCCCCTCCGCTCCCGTCACCGCCGGTGCCGGTGCCATGGCTGGCTCTGCCCTCCTCGCCGCTGCTGCCGGTCTCCTCACCGTTTTCCTCGCTTAAATTCACTTTTAAGTGACGAGGAACAGGAGTTCAACAATGTGTGGTTCGGAATCGACCTTCGGACGACGCAGAATCAGCAGTTTCTTTTGTATCTTTGATATCCTTGGGTTTTAAGGAGAAGGAGAAGGCCTGGATGGCTGTACCATTTCATGGGGCGCAACCGCAACATATCAATATTTTCATGACATGGATCAAGTCTTTTCATGTATATCCTTTTTGAGAGGGGGCGCTGGTCATTCCGGGACGAGAGAGGAAGCACCATTTTATATATATACTATATACCATAGCGAGCATTATCTTTATGTCTGTTTTGGTTTACACTATCTCGAAATAAAGACGATCTCGTTATACCATATACCTCTACCGGGCCATGAGTCTCTTTGTTTGTATTTGGTTTTTTGGGGAATGCGGATATTCTTTCTACTAGCATATGACAGCGTGCGAAAGAAACGTGGTAGAATACTCATATCCTATCTTGTATTTACTATATTCTAATTGCTAGTATTGATCATCAAGCATTATGACGATGACAGTTGAATGCAAAACTTTGAAACAAAACTTTCATTCTGAGCCTCTTTGAATTCTGGTTGAACGTGAACAACAATGACATTGTAATCCAGGTACGGGGGCTGTCTTGAACCCTGAACAAAACCTCCCGCCGTATTGCTGAGTGATGATCGCCTTCCATTCCATTTATTCCTTCCAGCACTGCCCTCGTATCGTCGTCCGCTCCTGCTGCTAGCATGTCACCATATCACTTGCATCTGATCGCGATGATGAAGATGACTTCTGATTGGTCAAAACACCACGGCATCAAGGTTCCACTGGTTCCTTCTTTTCCATCTTTTGCTCCAGAATCACTGCACAAAGCGGAAAGTTCCCGGAAAGTTCAGAAGAAAAGAAGGGCCCATCGACATCTGACTGACTCCTCAGCGGAATTGCGAGACATTGTTGGGATTAGGATTTTGGTATGTATGTCTAGTGGATTGCCGTTTTTTATTTGTGTTCATGCGGATTTTGGCGTGTTTCGGGGTGGTGGGAACCGTGGAGCATTGCGTGCTACTATCCGCTCATGCTGCGAGGACGCCCGGGGAGAGAGGTCCATGACCGAACTGACCTGACCTGGGAGCCTGGATGGAAACAATCCCCGCAATATCACTGCCCTGTTGTGGTTGGACATCAAAAGGTTCAACACTCAGCGGATTATGAAAATATGATGGATGGGTGCGGTGGATGATGGCTGCGCCGACCACGGTTTAGGATACATCTTTTTTTTGTTGTTGTTGTTTTATTCGCGCAAGCGGCAACAGAAGGAAACAAAGAAACAAGAAAGGGAATGGGGGTTGTTGAGCTTGAGAGGCCTCAGGTGTACCGAAAGAGGACTCCAACCGATGCAAGGCAGTGAGCCCGTGAGACCATACAAGTGAGATCGTGACGGTAACGGTAACGGTAACGGACAGGCAGACAGGGAACCCAGCCGGGAGGACTCCCGATGGCCGGTGCGCCGAGACGGCACAGCTCGACAGCGAAATGTCCGCCATGATGAATTCGATACGAACTACGGTACCTTGCCCTGCCTCTGGATCTGTATCCCGGAAGTCGGCCATCGGGTACCGTCAAGTCCGTGCGCTGTTCGTCCGGAGGGAGCAACCCGGGGGCCGGGGCTTGGCACCGTCATCTCTTCCCGTCTGCCTCCCGAGCCTCCGTACCCGACGGGGCCGGGTCGCTCAATGCACGATCAAGCACTTCGCCGGCAAGCGCAAACACATCGATGCCTTGAAATTCGATGGGTGACGGGGACCAAGGAAAAGGTGGATTCGATAAAGTGCATCGATTCCAGTTTAATTAAGTCTTCCGTTCGGGACAGGCTTGTCTTACAAACACCTGACATCCGGAATTGCGTACACATTCTTTTGCCTTTTGAGCATTGGTGATGGGACCTTCAGACGGACGGGATGCAGAGTGCAGTGGTTCTGACACATAGTTCTGAAGGGAGGCAGTTTCACTCAACGCTTCCAAAGACCAACACCTAAGTGTTGATATGTTTCAAGGGTTAGGGTTAATTCCGGACGGGCGCGCGGGGTTACGTAGAGGTACCTCTGTTCCTGCCTGTTACCGGACCTCTGTCATCTCTACTCTATTCCTACTTCACGTTCCAGTGCATGTAGATACTTCCGTACCGCTCCCGGCAAATCGAAACGTCATCCGCTATCTCGGATCTAAGATCGAAGTTATCGTCTAAAATCGCTACAAGCTGAGGACTGGGCGCAACTCGACCATGAAAGCCTACTGATCGGGCGATAAGGAACAACGGCGCCGGCAACCCAACAACTACACGCATCATGGCCTTCGACCCGTCCAACGGCTTCGTGGCCTCGAGCGATGTTCCCGGTCTCGCAGACGAACTACTACCCATCTTCGATGTCGAGCAGGTCCAGCTTCAATTCTCCATAGCCGCCGACTTTGTCTCGGCCCAGACAGCCAACAATGTCCTGATCCTGGCCCTCTCCAACGGCCGCATTCTGCGCATCGACCTGAACAAGCCCGAGGACATCGACGGTAGGATGAAAGTCTGGAGTCAGCGGGGAATGGTTCTGTCATGCTAATAAACAAATCATATACAGATATCGACCTTCCCAAGAAGCCGACCGAAGTTGGCGTGATCCGGCGCATGTTCCTCGACCCGACCGCCTCCCATCTTATCATCTGCACATCTCAAGGCGAGAATTACTACCTGCATTCGCAGTCGCGCCATCCCCGCCCGCTAGCCCGGTTACGAGGAGTTTCTATCGAGAGCATTGCTTGGAACCCCTCGTTGCCTACCGCCTCGACTCGCGAGATCCTCATCGGCGCAGCCGACGGCAACGTTTACGAAGGCTACATCGAGCACTCGACCGAGTTCTACCGCAAAGAGGAGAAATACTTGAAGGCCCTGCACAAACTACCGGATGGTCCTGTTACCGGTCTTTGGGTGGACACCTTACCCGGCGCCGGGACTGACACCAGACGCATCGTGATCAGTACCCAGAGCAGGCTGTTCCACCTGGTGGGCAAAGTTGGCAACAATGACGGAAGCGGTTCGATCTACTCGAAGCTGTTTCAAGCCGAGCAACCTGTTGTTCATGAGCTTCCACGGTCGGCGGCAGCCACGGCAGCGGCATCGGACCTGGTTATCTCCCCGGATACCCCCCAAGACACTAGCAGACCCCATGATGGCGATGTGAATGAGAGAGTGTTTGCCTGGTTATCGTCACATGGAATATACCATGGACAACTCCTGCTCAGCCCTTTCACCTCGGAGTTGGGCAACAAGGTCTTCAATGAGGCTCAGCTCCTGCCCAGGACGCAGCTGATGACTCTAGAAAGATCTGGGGGGCGGAGAATGACAGCTTCTAACGACTACATCAACGCCATTGCGCTTACGCACTGGCATATCATCAGCTTAATAGGCGACCGAGTGGTGGCCGCTAATCGGTTGACAGGGGAAATAGTCTATGACCAAGTGATCCTCAACCAAGGACAAAAGGCCATTGGTCTATGTGTCGATATCCAAAAGAACACATACTGGCTTTTCACAACACAAGAGATTTTTGAGATTGTCCCAAGAGACGAAGACAGGGACATCTGGAAGATCATGCTGAAACTGAAGAAGTTCGACGCGGCTCTCAAACATGCTCATACTCCAACACAGAAAGACGCGGTCGCGATGGCATCGGGCGATTATCTTCTCAGCAAAGGGCAGTTTAACGAGGCTGCCGGGGTCTATGGCAAAAGCAGTAAGCCATTCGAGGAAGTGGCACTCGCCTTCATTGACCACAACCAGCCTGATGCGCTTCGCAAGTATCTTTTGGGGAAACTATCGACCTTCAAGAAGAGCTATATCATGCAAAGGCAAATGATTGCAAGCTGGCTGATAGAAATCTTCATGGCCAAACTCAACTCCCTCGATGATACCATTATCACCAGGGCTGAGCTTTCAGAGACACTGAACCCGACACAAACGAGAGAACAGCTGGATGCTGTGCGAGCAGAGTACCAGGAATTTGTCAACAGACACAAATCGGACCTCGACCGGAAAACCGTATACGCTGTCATTGGCAGCCATGGCCGCGAAGAGGAGCTCCTTTATTACGCCGACGCCATCAACGACTACCACTTCGTCCTCTCATACTGGGTCCAGCGAGAGCGGTGGTCCGAAGCCCTCCGTGTGCTCCAACGCCAGACCGACCCGGAGGTCTTTTACGGCTACAGCACCGTGCTCATGACCCACGTCGCCTCGGAACTCGTCGACATCCTCATGCGACAAGCCAACCTCGAACCGCGCAACCTGATCCCGGCCCTCCTCGAATACGACCGCAACTACAAGGGCCCTCTCTCCCAAAACCAAGCGATCCGCTACCTCCTCTACGTCGTCAACCAGCTCCAATCCTCCGACTCCGCCGTCCACAACACCCTCGTCTCCATCTACGCCGCACACCCGTCCACGTCCAAGGACGAATCCGCCCTGCTCTCCTACCTGGAGTCGCAAGGCGACGAGCCGCGCTTCGACCCGGACTTCGCCCTCCGCCTCTGCATCCAGCACCACCGCGTGCTCTCGTGCGCGCACATCTACACCTCCATGGGGCAGTACCTACAAGCTGTCCAACTCGCCTTAGCCCACGACGAGATAGACCTAGCCATCATCGTCGCCGAGCGCGCCCACTCCAACCCGCCCCTGCGCAAAAAATTATGGCTCGCCGTCGCCAAAAAAGTCATCTCCCAATCCAACGGCATCAAAACCGCCATCGACTTCCTTCGGCGCTGCGACTTGTTAAAAATCGAGGACCTCATCCCATTTTTCCCCGATTTCGTCGTCATCGACGACTTCAAAGAGGAAATCTGCTCTGCGCTGGAAGAGTACTCGCGCAACATTGACTCGCTGCGCAGAGAAATGGACGAGAGCGCGGCGACCGCGGCCAACATCAAAGTCGACATTGCCGCGCTGGACCAGCGGTACGCGATTGTGGAACCGGGCGAGAAATGTTATGTGTGTGGATTGCCGCTTTTGAGTAGGCAGTTTTTCGTGTTTCCTTGTCAACATGCTTTTCATTCGGATTGTTTGGGGAAAAGGGTTCTTGAACAGGCGGGGCCGGGGAAGGCCAAGAGGATTAGGGAGTGTCAGGTGCAGATTACTAAGGGGTTGGTTAAAGGGCGGAAGAGGGAGGAGATGATTGGGGAGTTGGATGGGTTGGTTGGGGAGGCTTGGTAAGTCTTTTTTTCTTCTTTTTCTTCTTTTTCCTCTTTTTTTTTTTTTTTTTTTCTTCTTCTTCTTTTCGAGTGTCGTTGAAGGAAGGTGAGAAGAAGGAAGTTGAGATGAATGAATGAATGGTATGTGCTAACATTTGTGGTGAAAACAACAGTATTCTTTGCAGCGAGTACGCTATCAAGCGGATCGATGAGCCGTTTGTTAAAGAGAATGAGGATAAGGAGGAATGGGCTTTATGAGTTATGAATGAATGGAGTTGATATGCGACATTAAGAGTATCACAAGCATGCATGTATGTTTTTATTTTTATTTTGGCGAGGTTGATGATGATTAGCATGGAGCGTAGTAGATGTTTGCATCATATTTCTTGGTCTGAAGAATGAATGAATACGCGGTGAGTTGACAGATAGGTCACATTCGAGAAGACAAGAAAGAAACGAGATACCCACGCATTTCACAGACAATTCACAACAAACACACGATGAGGTTCTCTTCACACTTTGATCAGGTCAGGCAGCAGACCATGTACTTTAACTTTGATGTTTCTTCAATCACTATCGAATCATTCTTCCTCCTCTTTCACCACTCATACCACGACCCCTTTCCGTTCAACCAAATCCAACCCCCCCAGTTCCAATAAGTGTCCTCCTTGCCCTCCCATCCCATCGTCATGTAAATCGGTTCTGATTCGTCTATCACATCGTTAAAATATCCTCCCCTTCTTTCCCCGCCTTCTTTACACTTCCTACCGCCATGTGTGTAGTAGGTAGGTATTGTATATGAGAAAAATGAAGGGAGTTTCGAGAAGAAAAAGGAAGAAGAAAAAAGGGAAGGTTGCCAAACAAAAATGTCTCCCGTCCCAAACAAAACAAGATGCCATCCGTCGGTAGTAGTCGTGGTATTTGTCTCGGAAATAGTGCCATTTTTTTTGCCTGCCCTGTCCTGCCCGGCGCCAGCCAGCCCGCTGGAAAACATCAATCATCGAACAAAAAAAGGTAATCAAAACAGAACTTGGGAAACGAAAGGAAGAAGAAGGATCTTGTGACAGATCATTCGACAGACACCAGCATACAACAGACATGACAGACATGACAGACAAACCTCATAGATAAGTTGCAGCACATACAAAAGCTTTTGTCACTACATTTCAAGCCCATATTAAGTCCTCCTCACACATGACACAATATTGGGCGATTATGTCCCTGGCACAGGCGTCAAGAAGGGGCTCAACATCAGCTCATCTGCGCTCGGCCGCTTATTATGATCAATCTCAAACGTCTGCGCAAGGAACTGCTTAGCCTCCTCGCTAGCGTTATCCGGAATCGTCGGCGAGGCCTTGGCGCCGCCAATCTTGAAGATGGCCTGCAGCTGGGTGCAGTCGGGGAACGGATGAGTGCCCGTCATCATCTCGACCACCAGGCAGCCGAGCGACCAGATGTCGGCTTTGCGGGTGTAGCTTGTTTGTTTGACTACTTCGGGAGCCATCCAGAAGACAGACCCTTGAAGCGAGGGGCGGTGCTTGTTGTTGTTGGCGCCATTGAGGATGTTGGTTGCTTCGAGCTTCTTGGAGATGCCGAAATCGGAGATTTTGATGGTACCCTTGTTGTCGACGAGGATATTGGCGCCCTTGATGTCGCGGTGGATGATGTCACGGTTGTGGAGGTAAGAGAGACCCTGGAGGATTTGGCGAACGAAGCTGCGGACGAGTGATTCGGGGAGGGCACCGTATTGGTTGAGCATGGTTTGGACGGAACCACCGGGGACGTATTCGAGGAAAATGTTGAGATATTCGGCAGATGAGCTGCAGCCCAGGTACTGCACGATATTGGGATGTTGAAGGTCACGAAGGAGGGTGATCTCGCGCTTGAGCGCATCAATCATGCTCTTCTTGCGGGCATCGTTTTTACTGTCTGCACCAGGTGCAGGTGCCTCGACCTGCTTCACGGCGAGCAGCTCACCAGTGATGGCATGTAGGGCGAGGTATACGGAGCCAAATGAACCCTGACCGATAAGGGAACCCTTCATCCACATATTGTCGTCCCAAGCGTCACCCGCTAGGAAGGTTTGGAGCTCCTTGTCAGCAGCATCCTCACCATCTTCAGTAAGCGCTTCCTGTATTACCGCGGAATCGGCCGAGTTAGTGGTGCCGCTGTCGTAGTAACTGTGTCTGACTATGTTTCCATCGGGATCAATGACGCTAACTGCAGCTGTATCCGAGCCGCTGTCCGAAAATGGGACGAATGATCTCCGATTAGGCTCGGTTGGGGAGCCTTCTTCTTGTAGCGTATCAAGTACGGACGAAGCCACGGAGTCTCTATATCCGTGAGGCGCCCTTGAAAGCACATCACGCGGGCGTACCTTTGCAATCTGGTTGGAAGCGGTCAACCAGCTGTCTGCGATGGTAGGGATTGGCGGGGCGTCTTGTATGCTAGAGGCAAAGCTAAGGGTGCTAGCAACACTAAGACGATGGTTCACTCTACTAAGACGTGCCGAGCGTCTCATAGACAGACGGGCTGTCCTGTCGATAGCTTCACGAGAGTGATCTGGGAAGTAGCTCGTAAGATCCGAGGCGATCAGCTCGCTGGGCGGTCTCAGCCCACCGAACTGACGGAGCGCTTGTGTACGGCGAGGCATGGCCCTGGGAGTTTCCATAGGCGCTGGCCGCTCCAGATCCCTAGCAGCATTGGAGACGTTTCTTTCTCTGTCCTGGTAAGACATGGGAGAGAGCGGAGGCTGTTGTTGGAGGTCTTCCCAGCCCACTCCCAGCACCTTTTGCAGCTTCAGCTGACTCCGCTTGTCGGTAGGCTCAATTGGAGGCCTATGTGTTTGCTGTGCTTCCTCCATCGCAATGGCAGCTGCTCTTTCAAGTTCTGCCTTGCCCGGCTCTCCAGAAGGAACACGCCTGAGAATCAAGCGGTTGCGCTCTGGGCGAGTGTGGTCTTTGATGACTCTCCACAGCTCAGTATCTCCGAGGCGGCGGCATTGGTTCGGGTCCGGATCAACGCCGGCCAGCACCCAGAAGCAGTAATTCCTTTCATGGTCCTCCCGCAGGGCAAACTTGCGTAGGGTAACACGCATGACCTCTTCACAGGTGTTGCAGTCGGCAATCTTAACAACCTTGGTGACGCCACCTGTGGAGATGACACGAATAACATCCTGACCCTTTGGTAGCGCAGCCATCAGCGAACCATCCATGCTGGAATTGTTCCTGGTGTGGGCTTGTACCAATCGGCCGGAGTGGGACTCGGGAGGAGACATGGGGAACCGCGAGGGGGCAGCCTGTGTAGGCTGACTGCCATAGCCCTGTTGTTGCCCATAGCCTCGCCGGGCTTGTCTGCTGTAGTCGGAGCTAGGTAGCGGCGAGGTCGGCCGCGAGGAAGGTTTCGACATGTCGGCATTGGGGTTGAGTTCGTACTGGCCGTCATAGCGCCGAGGAGCGGACGTCGCCGCTGACCGATTTGTGATGGGCACTCGTGAAGAAGTCGCTGAATACTGGTTATCGAGCACAGCAAAGGATTCCTAGAACAGTGTTAGCCAAGTGGCAACCTTGAGCACCGGGATAGCCAAACTCACCCTGTTTCTCTTTCTCTGGTTCGCATAGGTCTGTGTCCGGAGTTTCTTGATGCTCAGAAACAAGCGGACGCGATCTCCAACCTTCTCAATTCCCATCTCTTTGAGGACTTCCTTGTCAATCTCCAAAAGCGCCTCGCCGTTTATGTGATTTTTGCGGAATATCCTTTCGTAGTCGCCGCATTTTACGCTCCTGAGATAGTCGCACACCCTGTCCACGTCCCAGTTCTTGACCGATTCGGGCCCGTCGAGGTCGTCAAATTCGGATTCGGTAGGACTCGCATAGTTCTGGCTGGTCGCATGAGAGACTGCAGGCGCTCTTCGCGAGGGAGCGTAGGCGGTTTGTGGTGTGCTTGCCATCATGGTGGACGACTGGGAACCCAACGAAGGGGTGAAGGGCGACTTGGATGCCAGCATGGCCATGGTTGAAGCGACGGTCAGCTAGGAAGTATTGATGACATGGGCTATTAGGGTGTGTTGATGGTGGTGGCGAGACGACGTCGAATGTTTTGCGCGTGCAGAGCGGTTGGGGGATCGATGGAAGCAGAAGCAGAGGCAGAGGCGGCGGCGGTTGTTGCTGCTGCTGCTTTCTGCAGGGAACGATGATGGTGATATGTAGGCGCACAGACTGCCGATGCTAATCCAAAAAGCAAGCCAAAGATGGGCTGACCGCTGTCCGGCAATCAGTGGCTTGCCCGTCGTCCGATGTATGTGGATGTGGATGAAGCGACCGAAAGAATGTTTGGCGTCGGGCCCAACAAGCTCAACAAGGTGCGGTAATGCCTAGAGCTGGTGCGTAGTGAGCGTGTGTTGGTGGTCACACGCTTCGGATATGAAGCAGGAAAGACGACGTGGAGAGGGGGCAAGGGGCCCTTGGTTAGAGACGTGTGTTGTTGGAATCTCCTTATTCGTGACACTGAACAGCCAACCAACGAGGAGACTAATGGTAACAACCACAAAGCCGCCCGGCCCGCTAACACTTTGTCTCCTGGGGGGGGAGGGGGGCGCGCAACACGATTTCTGCGACAACGACAGCAACCCTCTTTATTGTCTTTTGAAACTCGCGCGCAAGATGGAGAATGGGAAAGCCAAGCAACCAGCCGAAATGATATGGATGTCAATGCGAGTAGTAGAGGTGGATATGGAAGAGGTGTGCTTCTGCCACTCAAGCCTGTGCAGTGCTTGCTGTTAGAGTCTGCAGTGGTGCCCTGTGCGTCGCGCCTATGGTGACTTGTCCGGGGTGGAATGGTGAGCGCTGAAGGAAAGAGAGAAACAACAAAGTGCGCAAATTCTTTACACGCAAGAGACCATGGAAAACCCCTCAATGCGGAGCGAATGGGAAAGAGAGACGAAGGAAAAGTTACTAGCCCGACAACTCGACAATGGAGAAGGAAAATGGAGGAGGAGCTCCCCAGCATGGAGTCTTTCCACTTCCACGGGCTTGTTGTCACGATTTGTGGAAGTGGCCGCCGCGGGGGCAGCCGGGGGTCTGGCAGAGCCTGGATTGTGACGATCCTCTCTAGCGGGCTGCTGACTGCTGAGAAGAGGAAACCGCGGCATTGAATGCGTTGAATGCGGCCTGGACGTGACTGCGACTGCGCTGCGAAGAAGGCTGCAATTCGGCGCTCTGCGACTCGGCAAAGACTGCAAGTGTCTGCGACGAGAGAGGGGAGCGGGGCTCCAACGCTAGCGGCGGATTGGACGGCCTGCAGAATGATCCGCCGCCAAGCCGCCAAGCCGCCAATCGTTAAAGACGCCCCTTGATCTGAAACTCGAGCACGGGCCATACGAGGCGCTTCTTTGGCTACCCACCTCTCACATCGCTCGGGAACCGAAAAAGACGATGTCGTATTTGGAAATGATGGCATCCAACTTCTGTGCCCCAAGTGTCACAACGCCGTGGATAGTGGTAGATACCGAGCCAACACCCGTCAAGCCATTCTCTCCTAAAGCTCAAAGGATTGTTCTTTGCTGTTGTTGGTGTCTCGCGACCGGCACGACGAGGCGCAAAGAAAACTCAAACAGCACCCGGCAACAACAATAATTGAACAACAAAGTGGAAGATCGGCACTAGGATGAAACTCAGCCATGTGGATAGGGAGATTGTCACCTTGGATTTTTCCCATCTTATTGACCGCCGTCCGAGCACCAGAGAGCCGTGGTTCCGGCAACATGTCCGAACGGGTAGACCGGGCAACCTCCACGCCCACGACGCAGATAACCGCCCCAACCAAACTTTCAACGTTCCATTGCCACCACCAAAATCAGCACGCTCGTCTGCATGGAAGCTTTGAGTCTTTTTCTTTGTTGCGTCTTTGCTCCAGCCACGGCGTCGATTATTGACCCCTATTTCGCTTTTTGCAGGCCACAATCCCATGCTGGAACTATCGGCGTGGAAGGGCGGTAGAAAAAGAGAACAGCACGGGGCAACTTATACCGCGGGAAAAGCCCCCATTCATTTCCTTGATGCTGTCGCGTAACCCTCCGTCTCACGGATTTCCCTATCGAGAAGTCTGAGCGACCTCAGTGACAACAGGCCTGCGAATGGACTCCAACTCTTCATTTTTCTCACCT